GTAAATACTTTTTGAACCCGAAGGTATGTCCTAGTCTTGATAAGTCTCGAGGATCCAACTCACTTAAATTTTTATGTAACAAAAGAAAAAAACATCTCAGTGGTTGAATACTATAACGCGTCACCTTTGAACCTTTGCTCCAAGGTTATATAAGACAAGAAATGGCCTTACCATTTTTAAGATTCTCATGTCCACCTTCTGGAACTGCTTCGATAACTCCTCCCAATACACTGGCCATTTTCTGAAGCACCTTAGCATCATCTGTGGCGAAAAGAAGATTCGAACTATTCTCTTTAAAAACATGGAAGCTGGTTTCTCCACCACGCTTGTAATATTGGTTTGAAACACTATGCGAGAAGATACTGTTTAAATTATTTAGACATTAGTGTGTCGTTGCAACAATGGTCGGCATTTTTTTTATAAGCACAATGGCAGGCATTAATTGAAATAAGTTGTAAATGTTACAAGATAAATAATGAAAGTCATTTATCCAATTTAATGCATTACATGAGGATCACATATCTCATGGGATATGATGCTGGGATGCGCTGAAAAACTTTAAATGTTTTAATTATGAGGGGAAGTAGTAAATGATACACTAGTATATACTACTACTTCTGATTCTTAATATAAGACTTTGTTTGACTTTTATTTTCATCTTAAATATAAGACCCCAATCTATTTTGTCTCTCATATTTATCTATTTTTTTCAAGATAATCCTTCTAATAATAATAGTTCTAGATAACAAACTTAATTGTAAGGATATTTTAGAAAAAAAACAACATCTATTTATTACAAATAACTAACTTAACTAAATTCCTTAATATCTCCAAATTAATCAATTAGGTCTTATAATTAGAACCGGAGGTAATACTTCCTTTCCCTTTCTAATGTCTTTTCCCTCTCAAAATTAGTATTAAGGTTTAACTCTAATGAGCATCTAAATATTGTGCATTTTTCCTTATGATATAGCTGCTGAAAATCTCTAAACTCTTGGCCTTTCATGTCAGGACTTGGTAATTTTTCCAATAAAGTCGACGATGATTAAGTCAAATGGAAGAGACTTATCTGGTGGTTAAAAAAAAAAAAAAAAGCCAAATAGACTAATTCCTCTTAAACAAGGTCCAAAAGTCGAGCTTCATAGATGAAAGAGCGAAAAAGACTTATGATGGCAACCAAAAAAAAAAAAGAACAAGAGATTTTAGACCCTTTAAACAAGGTTGAAAATTCAAGCTTTATAGATTTTTTTTTGGGGGGGGGGCCTTTCAGCGGAGTTACCCTAATTACAAGTGACAAATGCTTGAACCCTAATGAATAACATCAAATAACAAATATTTGTACTTAAAAACGCTTCTCCCGTGAATAACTTCTAAGGAATTTCTCATCAACTGTATTTAACCACCTTGATCGTCAAGCTCTCAAGGAAAGTAAAAGGGGATTCGAACCCGTCCTTCGACTTTTTTCAAGAGAATTGTACAAGCACACCAATTTGCAGCTAAGGTTTAATTTCTTAGAATCCATCCAAGTACACAAGCAGAAGAGCTTTGTCAAAAGTAGCAAGTTTCTTCAATAGATTCAAAGAATTTTGCTTACACTATAAAATAAAGGGAAAATTTCACTGAAGGACTGCTGAAGGCAATTAATTTCCAATAGCCCCCAAAACAATCTGACAAGTCACTGCAGGACCATGGGGGTGAATTGATATTAATTTCAAACTAAAAAGACAGTGTTGCCCCTCAAACTATTACTCTGAAATTTGAAGTCTTCTCTCTCTCTCTCTCTCTCCTCTCCCGATATCTGAAGCCCCTCTCGCTCACTCTCTAAAAATTCTAGTTCATGTAGTGAAGGAGATCGTTCACCTCACTGTCGCTACTGTTGTGGTGAGGAAAGATTTTGCCATCGTCATTGCTCTGCTGCGGAGAGCCTTCGTTGTCGCCCTTGCTCTAGCAACGAGAGCCTCCATCACCGCTCCTGCAAGTGTTGGACGAGAGCCTTTTGTGTAGATATGAAGCTGGTTAAACTAGAAAAGCTTGCAGGAACGCGAACTCTACATGAATTTATTGCTGAATACAGTTTGTTTTTATTTTAATAAACAGCTATTTTTGTGTACATATGAACCTCAATATGTATTTTTGGAATGGTTCACGAAGTGGTTATGACAATCCGTGAGTTGAAATCTATTTTGTATGGCTATGAATAGATGGAGAATTTCATGATGATACTTAGAGGTAAACTGCCCTAAGTACTGAACTGAAACTAGTTAGCAACTATATAAATGTGTGAACAAATTAATCGACTTGCAAATGGACGTATTTTTATTGTTAATGCATGTATTCTTATTGCAAAGTTCCTAATTCCACTTGTAAACAGTCACTTCCAGATTTGTGAATTGACGTGTTCACACTTCCAGATCTGGAAGTGACTGTTTACAAGTGGAATTAGGAACTTTGCAATAAGAATACATGCATTAACAATAAAAATACGTCCATTTGCAAGTCGATTAATTTGTTCACACATTTATATAGTTGCTAACTAGTTTCAGTTCAGTACTTAGGGCAGTTTACCTCTAAGTATCATCATGAAATTCTCCATCTATTCATAGCCATACAAAATAGATTTCAACTCACGGATTGTCATAACTACTTCGTGAACCATTCCAAAAATACATATTGAGGTTCATATGTACACAAAAATAGCTGTTTATTAAAATAAAAACAAACTGTATTCAGCAATAAATTCATGTAGAGTTTGCGTTCCTGCAAGCTTTTCTAGTTTAACCAGCTTCATATCTACACAAAAGGCTCTCGTCCAACACTTGCAGGAGCGGTGATGGAGGCTCTCGTTGCTAGAGCAAGGGCGACAACGAAGGCTCTCCGCAGCAGAGCAATGACGATGGCAAAATCTTTCCTCACCACAACAGTAGCGACAGTGAGGTGAACGATCTCCTTCACTGCATGAACTAGAATTTTTAGAGAGTGAGCGAGAGGGGCTTCAGATATCGGGAGTTGAGAGAGAGAGAGAGAGAGAAGACTTCAAATTTCAAAGTAATAGTTTGAGGGGCAACACTGTCTTTTTTGTTTTGAAATTAATATCAATTCACCCCCATGGTCCTGCAGTGACTTGTCAGATTGTTTTGGGAGCTATTGGAAATTAATTGCCTTCAGTGGTCCTTCAGTGAAATTTTTCCTAAAATAAATCTTACGTTTAAATCAGATGAGTAATTAAAACCACCCAAACTAAGTAAAAGACAATCTTATTCTCATAGACCTCTAGCGGACCCCTCTCAGCTCCCCTCCACCTTTCTTTGCCCTGTCGATCTCGCTAAGGATCCGTTTGGTGTGAGAAAAAACAAGAGGAGGGCAGAAGAAAAAAATTTGATAAATTCAATTTTGAAAATAAAAAAATAGGATTAAAATTTTTTAATTAATTTTTATTATTTTTTCATTACTTCTTTTCTTTATTAAAATTTTAAAACCCACTTCTTCTGTTTTTTAAATAAAACTCATTAAAATTTTTTCTTTCCTCCCTTCCATTCACACCAATACTACCTAAATTTCCTTTATTATTTTCAGTTTGGAACAAAATCCCATTGCTTATGCTTCTGTGATATAAGAAGAATATAATTTTCCCTTCACGAATTATGTGGGCCTTCAGATTCCATTGGATTCCATAAATTTAAAGAGAATTGTAATTAGGTCTAATTTAAAGAAATTAAATACAAAAAAGTCTTTTGAAATCATAAAATTATTTTGAAATCTCAAAGAATTTTTTTACAATAAATTTTATTTGTTTACTTACTAAATTACCCTTCTTTTTTTTTAAAAAGTTTGTATTGACAACTGAAAGAGCAGTGGTTGACAACTCAAGATATAGTTCAAACCAACCACAATAGTTGTTAATCCTTACATGCTGAATTGTCAATCATTACTCTTTCAGTTGTCAATACAAACTTTAAAAAAAACCGCGATAGTTGTCAATCCTTACACTTAAATCGTCAACCATTGTTCTTTCAATTGTTAATACAAATTTAAAAAAAAAAGATAATTTAGTAAGTAAACAACTAATTTCATAATTATTTGAGATTTTAAAATAATTTTATAATTTCAAAAGACTTTTTTGTATTTAATTCTGAGACCTAATTGCCATTTTTTTTTTTTAATTTGGTAGCCCGTCCCCTTGGATCAATTAATCCGTATAAACGCCGAATCGGTACCTGAAAATGAAAGAAAGCTACCGTTTTGAAGATATACATTTTTTCTGTAAGCTTCCCTTTGCTTGCCTCGTTGCGTGCTACTATGCACTTAACCCCACAAAGTTCCAATTATTACCCCTAATTTATTATTAATTTAGGTTAACAATCCACCCCCACTAAAAAATATCACGATTGAGATGACTAAGACCCTCCACTAATTTCGTACGATGTCATCCATATTCCATCCTTATCCATTGAATCTATAAAATAATAGTAGCACTTCCCCCCACATTCAAGAAGACGAATCTCATCTCTTTGATTTTTCATTACGAGATGATATATAGATGAAAACAATCGCTCATAAAAAGAATCACATTTCTTGCTTTTCTGTCCCCTTTTGCCAACGAATTATATTTAAATTACAGGGATCACTTCGAACTCTTGACAACAAAAGATTTAGTGAACCCCAAAAACTTAACCACACCGCGCATCAATCGTCTTCCTACTATAAATACATGTACACTGACCTTACAAGAATTCATCGAAATAATAGTTCAAAAGTTAATGATGCAGCTTCAGTAAAACCAAAGATCACATCATAATTTAAATAATATATAAAAATATTCTCACACAATTCAAGAAGAGAAATATTTAAATAAAAAATTTAACATCCGCCTGGCACACACGACTCAACATTTATTCAAGAGCAAATTAGACAAACTACTTTTTCCCCCTCCTTCTAAGTTAATGTCATTTAAGGGTTTCGTTCAAAACTCAAAACTCAAAACTCAGAAAACCGGATAAATCAAGCAAAGTTCACCAGCTAGATTTTAATACTATCTTGATAATTATAGATTCATAACAAAAAAAAACCAACATCCTCCAAAAGGAAAAAATTAAAAAAAAAATAGGAAAAAAAAAACCACCAGCAAACTAATCAAGCGACAACAATGTCCTCGTCAGTTCTTCACGGAACATTACATCCACATCACTTTTGAACAAAAGACAAACCATATATATGCTCACTCATCAGCAAACAGACCAATCCGGTTAGAACAACACGTAGTCTTACACTGACACGTGGCATATGCGATATATCAAGAGACACTATTTACATTCAAGCCCACGGTGATGTTAACACGTACTCCATCTTCTCCTCAGCGGTGCTTGCTCCTGGTCTCACCGCTGTAGAGCCTGCAACCACACACAACCCGAATCATTTTAGTCCCACCATAAACCGATCGATCACCGTTGAACAGATTCATAGCACACATCAATAACCATTAGATTATAGATCCATGTTTGGTAGTCCGGTGAACAAATTATATTGTCAGATCCAACCGTTCATATCAATAGAAAACAACACAGATTTAATTACTTCCTCCCACGCGCGGATCACGCAGATCCCGGGCGCGTCTCAAATATCATTTTGTTCTTCAACTCAAACTTACAAACTTACTTTCATTTGGACAAAATTTTTTTTTCCATTATCCATTTCTTCCCCCATGGAAATTATTCTTCATTTTAAGTCCTGATTTTATCATCTGCGCTCATAAATTCAGGATCGCAAAGGTCTCTGTATAATAAAAAAAATTTTCTTAAATCTGTACCAAAAAACAATTTCTTCACCTCAACTCAAATATTGTTTAATTATAAAAGCAATAAACAAAATAATATAATTTCCAAACTCCAAAATCAATCAACAACCTTACGCTTCAGCATCGTCAACCAAATAGACGCATGCAAAGAGTTTGGATTCCCGCTGGGTTTAAGGCAACATACCAAAAAAAATTTTTAAAAATTAAAATCAAGAATCATATTTAGACCGTTGGATGATCCAGATCTGCTTTAAGAAAAACACCGGATCCAAAAATATGAGTATTTTCTCATTAGTTATTAATTATTAATTAGTCATCCCCGAAGCGCGCATGTCACGCGCCGGGAAATATCTATATTCATGCACAGTGCCTGATGAACCAAAAAAGAAGTAAGCTTACCAGTCATACACAGTGGGAGAGTTGGGCAAAGGCTTATCGAACTTCTGAGCACCGATCGTCTTGGTAGCTAAGTTACTGCCAGGATGGAACACGCTCCTCCAGACGTTGTCGGCCTTACGCGCCGACAGTGGCGTCGTCGGTGTCGTCGGCGTTGTTGGCGTCGACGGCATCGACAACGACTTTTTGCTTCCTTCTCCTTCCTCTGAACCAAGATAAAAAAAAAAAAAAAACGATCATATTTACGATTCAGCTTCAGAAACTAACAACAGAAAAATAAAGCTTCATAGCTGAATTAATTAATTAACTGACCTTTATTGACGTTCAAGGGCTGGGTGGCGATGACCTTCCTGAGTCTGCCTAGGCCTTGATCTGGTTGAGGCCCCGCAACAACGTCGTCCCACAGCTTCTCCAGCAAAACCATCTTCTTTAGCTCAGCTTCTCACCGTCTCTGGTAATGGGAATATTCAGTGTGCTTGTGTAGATGTTTATATAGAAAAGATGAAGAGATAGGGTTGCTTAAAATATCTCTAATATTTTTTATTTCTATATTTATTTTTATTTTCGGAGATGGGAGTGGGAATGGATCAAGCATTTTGATATTTCCACGTGGGACTTTTACTCTGATACAGATTAGAAAGGGTTAAAACTTAGAATGATTGAAAGATATAGTAATATCTGTCATAATTGTTAAATTATAGAATTTTTTTTCCTGTGATAGTTGAATTATTATAGGTTTTATTACAATTGTAATTGTAATTGTATGTTTTATATTAAATATTGATGTTGATACATCTTTATTCATGACGTGAGTGCTACTTTTACATTTGAAAAGAAATTTATTTTTTTAAAATCATATAAAATCTAAAATAAATGAATAATTATGTGGTGCTTGAGGTTAAATTTTGAAATTTGAAAATAAAAATATGCTGGAAAAAGTTATTTCTTGGATGGAAAATTTAATTGCTTAATTTTGTATATCTGACGCATTTTATTTTGATGAAATTAGAACAAATGGATTTCATTAATGGAAGAGCAAATGGACTTTAAATGTGACAAATATTAATAACCCGAGTTAGAGGATGAATAACGGATGGATGGATGGATGCTACTTTAACTGGGAAAATAGTTAGTAAATAATTAAGGTTTTAAGTTTTTTGAAAACTTTTTTTCAAAAAAATTAACCTGATCGTATGTGTTGTCAAAAATCAAAAATCAAAAATCAAAATCAAAAAATGAATAAAAATTAAAATGACATGAGTAAGTGTGAGCGGCAATAGGAAGACGAGGGGGGCTGTATAGGGGGAATAGCTGGGAAGTGGATAAGGATGAAGACTCAGGACTGAGCAAATGCGGGACCCACATGATAATATCCAATCCAGATAGAGACACGTACTCAATACTTTTAATGGGTTTTCTATACATACCAATAAAATGTCCTTACCAAAGAAATACTAAAATAATTTAATCATAAAAAATAATGATACAATTTCTCATATTTTGAGGGGGGGAAATTTACAAAAAGTAGGAGTACCAAAGTGAGGAGGTTGGGGGTTTGCTTTACGCGGGTGCTCATGAAAGCGCACAATTATTTGCCTCTTTGTCCTTTCTTCTGTGCCACGAGGGTGGGCCGGGCCCACAATGAGCAGCCGCGGGACCTACCCTCCTAATTTTGAATTTTTTATTACTCCTCTTCTTAATAACATTACATTAATAAAAAACAATAAAAGTTAAAATAATAGTTAACTCATTAAGATTAATATAAATTAAAAATTTTTCAACTTAATTCGTATTAAATGAGGTTGTGAAAGGAAAAAAAAAGTTATATTTCAGAATCAATTGCAAGAACAAAATTAATAAATAAATGTTAATTACTTTTCAATTAATTTGCATTTTGGATCAAACCCTTCTTCTAGAAATCATTGACAGTGTGAGTATGAGTGAGACGAAGTAGATCCATTGTTCTTAGTTTAATTAATCAAAAAGGCTGTTGATGATGCGGCCTGCCATCCATACAAGACGCAAGGAAGAGTTGGGGGAAAGAAAACGAGAAAAATAACTAATAATACTATTATGATATTTAATGTAAGACTTAATTATAAAGTTAATCTTAATTTTAAATATAAGACTAATCTTTTATATTTATCAGTTTTTTTAAAATCATTCGTATTGATAATCCTTCAACTATAATTGAGTACGAAAAGGAGGGAAGACATTAAAAAAGATTATTAAGATATTTTAGGAAAGGAGTACTAATTAAATTTAACAAGGCTTTTTCTGGAAAAAAAAAAATTTAACCTGGTCAATGTACTTTGATCGCCTAAATTTACATGAAATTTGAATTTAATGGTATATGTTACATGATTTTCTTAAAATAATTATATATATTATTGGATTATTATGAGTTATATATAAATTTTAAAAAATTATTTAATTTTTTAATATTCTCAAATTAATTAACTGAGTTTTATATTAAAAACTAAAGGTAGTATTATCCAAGAGGAAGTATTGACTCAACCAACTTAAATGGCAATTTTACCATTAAATACCTACAAAAATGCTTAAATTTTAAAATATAAAAAATGATCATACTAATGAATTGAATTTAGAGCATATTATATTAATGAATTGAATTTAGAACTTATTTTGCTAGTATTTAATTTCAGTGTCAACATTTAAACTTTTCGGTCATCATTTTTAATTAAATGATAGTAACACTATTATAATTAAGTAGGTGTGGAAATAGACTAGGCAAGGCGAGGCTTTAGCTAAATAGGCCTGGGCCTGCATCAGAGATCTAAAACCTAGGCCTGAGCCTAAGTCTACATGTAGGCTTTTTTTTTTAAACTCGAGCCTGAGCCTTCAAAAGGGTTGATAAGACCTAAAAGCCTTTTTAAAAGCCTACTTAAAATTTAAGTATTTAAATAGGTTTAAAAACGCATGCCTCCAAATTCATGTATAACTCTCCAAACCTATTTTAAAGCCTACGTTATGTCTTAAAAGTTTAAGATCTATTCTCACATACAATATAAGATAATAAGAGTCCGGTTAAAAAAAAGAATGCTCAGTGACAACAATTGTTCCAGCAAATATGAATAAGAAAACCAATTATAGGTTGACTAAGGAGATATATTTTCTAAAATCAATCAAACCCAACAAGTGGCATGTAATTAAAACTAGATTTTACCTCTTGCTTTTCTAGCAGTATTATAATATTTCATTTAGGCATCACTAAAACAAACTTACTACAATTATTATGCTTTAGTGAATAACGTAAATCAGGGGAGAGGGAATGAGCTAACATAGTTATCTTGAGTGATCAAAGAAAAGAAATGTAAAGGTGAAAGATTGATTGATAAAAGGGTTGCGTTTGTATGTGAATGATAGGATGTGAGACTTAGGATCATGGCTAAGTTAGTAATTTTATAAATAATTTATAAAATTAATATAGATTATATTATATAATAGTATAAATTTAAAAAAAAAGCTAAATAGGCCAAACTTGTAGACTTGTAAGCTAGGCTTTATAAAAATAGACATGGCCTGTTTATCTAAATAGGCCTTGCAATAGGCCTAAGCTTAAACCTGGCCTATTTACTAAATAGGCTAGACTAAGTTTAAAGTAAGCTAGACTATAGACTCTTGATAGGGGCTTAGCCTACTTCTATCCCTATAATTAAGAAACTAAAAATATATCTTATCAACTCAAGTACGGTCTTAACAGATTTCAGGAGAGTTGCGGCTGATCGGCGCCCGCGCCCACGGTTGCCTTCGCCCCACCCACAGATGTCCAGTCCTTGGGCCTACCAAAGAGGCTTGAAATATTTGATCTTTACCCGATGAAATGTCATGTTCATGTGTCTGGTGTTCATAAAGTTCAGTGATCCATTATGCCTATCTAAGCCCACAAAAAAAAAACCAGCCTGCTCTAAAAAAAAGATCCAAAAAAAAATATTGAGTATGTTCGGGCTGGACATATTGTTGGGCAAGGCTAGGCATCGGGCACGGTATGCTACCCTGCCTATTTAGCCGTGCCCGCAAAAGTATATATAATTTTATTTATATATATTTTATTTGTCACATATTTATCTCCTGAATCAAATCTACTATTGTATTAATATTCAGTGTTCATTATATTTATTTATTTTTGAATATTTTGAGAGGTAGACATCCTATTATTTATTATGATTTGTATGACCATTCTTTTTTTTAATGCAAACATTATGACTATTGACAATTTGTATATTGGTAGATAAGTAATTATATATTGTTTATTTAAAGCATAACTTCAATAGCTATGAAAGGATAATCGAGTTATTTTGAAATTTGTTTTACTTCTTGTTTTTCTAAAAGTGCCATGTCTCTGTTTGGTTAAAATTAAAAGCTAATCAAGACACTTTAAAAATTCATTAAACCATAACAAAGATTTTTTTAAATATAACTGATTCCATCCTCTTATGTGTATTTGGGAGTTATGGAAAAAAATATTAATATTTGGTTAAGAAATTTTAGAAACTAGAAAAGCAATTAAGTTTAATAAAATATACTAACAATATTTTTTTTGTCATAGTCCACTCCTCTTAGCTATTATAAAATGTACCTTCATAGTATATTAATTAGTAATAACTAAATTAAGGTCATTTTAATATAAAGTTATATTAGATTATTTAAAGAGACATAACTAATTAGTTAATTAACATAGTATATTGACTTATTAGGAATGGAAGCCTGCCTTGTCCTGCCCCACCAACATTTGCTCAGCCCAAACTCATTAGGGCTTTTCATGAGTAGGGCCAGGCAACAGGTTGCATTTTTCAGCCCATTCATTCTTCAATTTGGGCATTAGGCAAGAGTCTTGCCCTGTCAAGTCCTATCTATATGCAGTCCTATTTGTATGTATGTATAAATGTCGATAAGTTGGAATTATATTAGGCATTTTTGCCATTTAATATTAATAAAAAATCATAAGAAATTGTTAACAAGATTTTTGCCTTTCCATTCCCAAAATTAGGTTGGTGTGATCACACTAGTTAAGGTAGGAGTCATTTCAGCCTAATTAAAGATTACAAGTTTGATTCTTTAAACACGCAGCAATGTCAATAATAGGATCACCATCCAAATAGGTCCTATTATGACGTGATCTGAATTAATATGGTTCGTAATTTTTTGAGAGTCTTGTGACTTGTTTAGATCTGCTTCTATAAGTGCTTATAAGCACATTTAATATAAATCTCAACAAAACTCTCCTAACATATTTACTTCCTTTTGGCCATGATAGTTTTGATTATACTTCATTTTAATTAATAGTCAATTGGATAAAACCTGTACAGCTTTTCAAACCCCCGGGGGGGGGGCGCAGGAAAAAAGAAAAAGGTTTTGCTGGCAAGCACGTGTATGAAGTTGTGTCCTCTGTTTTGTAACAAGCTGTGAATTGACTGAATTCAAATAATTTTCATTGTTGATTCTTTATAAT